AAAATATAAAATCATTTAAAGACAGATTTGACAACTATTTAATCTTATTTTACGAAAGAAGTATATCCTTTTAATTTCATATTCAAGCTGTTTAATAATATTTTTTTAATTTTCCATTTCATTATTGTTACAAAGCTGGAAAATTCTATCTTGGGATGGCTCAGATTGATAATGTACAGTTCCAATTCGGAGTGGTAATACACCGCAACGAAACATTGTCATAGCTGGTTTTGTAAAGTCCATATCAACGTACTCCTCAAATTCGTTTTGATTTAAAAAAAAACACTGTAATTTCTTAGTTTGAGGATTTGTTGCAAATCCTCAAGCCACTGTGTTTTAATCTTATGATAGAGGAGACAAAGCTGCATGTCGATAAGTGAGGGTATATTCAGCGATTCAAATAGTAATTAATTTCCTTCTGCTATTTTGGTCCGGATACCATTTTAAAATTTTCTTTGTCAGACGGTTTTTTTCTTGTAGCATCAGACGCTTCTTGAATCGCAAGACATTAATATGATGTCGATGTAAAGATGCCATTCAACCACATTCTCCTTGGATTGCAATCAATGGCGTTAATAAGTGTACTTCTAGAAAAAACCGTATGACACGGGACTTCACCTTTACTGTACAATAATATATTGTGGTTCCCTCAATTCCACTTCAGTAGTCTAGAATAGGAGCAACACAGTTGAGAAATGAGTTTCCGAACGTTCCTAATCCGACCATTTTGAGGGAGTAAATTTTAAATATCATAGAATGATATGGAGATAACGAACAGTATTCAATCTCAAAGTCCATAAAACAATACAAAGAGCAGAGCAAACACGGACCCCCGAAACTTCAGAGATGGGATCAGGTGCCATGGAGGAGTGAGCATTCCCTACCGGCCGGTCACACCCGCCGTGTGCTCTTTGTCATGATTGGGAAATAACGGAAAAAATCCGTTGTCAATTCAGTGTATAAATAATGGACTAACAATTGGTATGAAAAACGTCAGTTAGCATTTGACATTACTGATAAATTGTGTTTGCTAACTAGGTCAATGTATCGACCATAGAACTTACGAAATGATGACTTTAAACGAGACTGCTGATATTCTTGTTTCATCAACGTTCTTGTCAATAATTTACCTCGTTTTAGAAATTGTTCACGCGTAGAGCATGCTCTTGCGTATCGAATCAACTGAGGTATATATACTCCGTATGCAGGTGATGAAGGTATATTGCTGCATAAGTAAGGGAAGTTCACGATAGAAAAGTTAAAGTCATCAAGTTTATTATATAGCTTGGTTGTTAGATTGCCATTAGTGTCTTTTTCAAGTAAAATAAAGTTATGAGAGTTACTGATACACTTTGACACAAGCTTTTTTTATATTCTACTATACACAGGTTGTCGTGATTGTCCACAGAGATTCCGTGTGGAAGTGATATCCCATCATCCTCTGTCAGGATCTAAGACAGGAAGTGGCCATCCTGGCTGATCAGGTGTACCGTGTTATTGTTTCTGTGTGCAATAAGGATGTGACCCAGACTGTCGGTAGCCACTCAATGCGGATAAAATCTTTCGTTAACAAACCTACGTTGGACTTTCCCGTGGTAGTTAAACCTTCGTAACGACAACTTTATTGTGATTAGAAACACATATATCCTCATTGACATTCTCACAGACAAACCCTGGACTATAAAAAAGACTCTCCCCGATCTGATACGTCTCGAATTCCTGTTTCCTTCTCCCACTTCTGTTGTACTTGACCACTCTTGCTGTATTAAAAAACCCATACAGACCAGTATATCATCTGACCTGCTGGTACAACACAGTCCTCCAGGACCAGACTCTGTGTTTATAAGTCTTGTTGTCTGTTTATTGAGTGACACTCTATAGATAACTTTATTGTTGTAGTCAGAATAAATCAGACCTCCGTCCCTCATCACAGCAAGACCATGAGGTTCTTCGTCGGTACTAATGTTATCCAACTCTGTCCCTGACCTGTCTATCAGTCGTATCCCAGGACTTGATCTGGGACCTGACCTGTATGCTGATCTGTCATTATAACTGGGTGAAAAAAATCGTCGTTTTTTAGTAGTTTTCTGTTTTCCTTAAACTATTTTTAAAAATCGCTTAAATTTTTTATCTACTGCTCACTTTTTAAAATTGCCTTTTCAATATCGACGCTTCGACTACATGCCTACTATATATATATATATATATATATATATATATATATATATATATATATATATATATATATATATATATATGTAGAATATCTTGAAAATGTGATAAGCAATCAATGATGACACATGTTCCACAAATTTCAAGAGACTATTTTCTGGATTTTTTACCTTCAGGCACTTGAAAAAGGAAGCTGAATAAAAGAAAAATATTAAGAAGCATTGTCATTTACAACATTCTACGTGAAGAGAGAATTAAAACAAACATTTTCGACATTAAAGTTGCAGCTCATATTGCTTTAAATAATATCATGTAAAAAAAAAAAAGAAGAGACAGTGAAAACAAAATAATTTATATATATAATTATCTTATCATAAAATCAAAATAATGGTGTATAAATAAAAATAGTATATTTGAAAAGAGAAACTTAAAATTTTTGAATAAGAAAAACTTTCAATTTGCTTCGCATTATCAATTATTTGATCTTTTTGCACAAATAAAATGTGATTTTTCTGGCAGTGGAAATGTTATAAGCAAGAAAATTATTTTAAAGTCTTAACCTTTTCTACATTTAAGCAGATGGGTCAAAGTTATCTTAAATATTTGGAAAATAGGATCAAAAATGGGAGTATTTGATGTAAATTTTCAGATATCTCTTAAAAAGTATAAATTTTACGTTGAAATGGCTCAATTTCCCCCGGATTTTCAGAATATATTTACTTTATTTGTCACATTTCGTTGAAAGAATTCATAAGAAATGATTTAATAGATATTTCAGAACCAACAAAACGCATTTCACTGCAAAAAATAGCTTTGTGTGCAACCAGCATAGAAAAATTGGATTCTTAAAGTAACAGGACTGTCATAGTTTAAAAGGGAAAAAAACTTATCAGTTTCTTCTAAAGAAAAACCTTACTCAACAAAATATAGTTTCTAGATTAATTCTACTTGAATGAAATTTAATCGCTTTTTATTTTTAATTCAATATAGTTCAATTTGCATTGTAGAATTCAGATTTAATGTTAGAACTTAAAAATTATGCAGAATTTTATAAATAATGGACAGGACCAAAATCCGCTCAAAACTCAGGATCGATCGTCCTCAACTTAAATATTCTCTTTTAGTTTAAAGCATGACTGTTAAATTTTATCCAATTTCTGATCTTTAGAATGATCCTTAGTATACTGGAAAATGAAAGATGCGACGATTTCCTGGACGTGATTTCATCTTTCTGAAAAGTGTTTTTTTTCAGGGTTGGAGTACAAGGATGTCAGATCTTGCAAATATTGTTGGTGTGATAAAATATCAACTTTCTGTTTATCCACCGAACAGCTTTACTTTTCATGGCGTGTTGGTTTGGACGCTGTCATGTAGTGGATTCCTGATGATTCTAGTTCCGTCCTCTCTTAAACCCTTTTTGCAAAAATTTTGCTTTCTAGACTACTCCAGAAATTGAACTGCCTCCCCGAAAAAGAATTTGAACAAGATCACTAATATTTAAGAAAATGGCATATAAAACTGTCTTTGTCCTCTTGCAATTCTTTGTCTTTTTTAAAAATATGTTTCAAGTTTCATTATGTGTTTGAGTTTCAGACAAACGTGAAGAACTACATTTTCTGATTTTTTTAAATTATTGTATAGATATATGTATTATAGTCAATCAAACATCATAAGTGACAATTTGGTGAATTTCGGCAAACAGAACATTAGTTGCAGTAAGTCCTTGTCGCCAAGCACGGTAACCATTTTCATACCCATTATGTACATGTATACCATTATTGTTCATTGAAATCCAAATGCTAATCTGCATATAAAACAGACAATTGAATGCTGCGATTTTGACAAATTTCAGAGAATATTTCTTTGTGATTCTTATGAAGTTTTACAGCAGCTTTAATAAAGCGTTTAATATCACTCCACAGTTTACTGATTCTCAATGCAGTGTCTCGAAAAGGCTTTTTTCAGCCTCTCACAATGAAAATTCGAGATGAACAGTGGTCACAAACACTGAAATCAATTCTTTAAAAATTCATTCACGAGAGAAAGAGAAGCTAAATGTTATCTGATATCAGTGTTGTATGTCATAGAGTTCAAGACATTGTTTAATGAACAACCCTCGTATGCATTTGTTAAGGTTCACAATATAGGAAGGGAGGGTTCAAAGTTAGGACAGATACTGAAAAACTTTGACACAGGCTTTGTCTTGTTCTACCAGCAACAGGTTGTCCTGAGTGTCCATCGAGATCCCATATGGTCGTGATATCCCATCGTTCTCTGTTAGAATGAGTGAGAGAAGGTCCCCATCCTGGTTGATCAGGTGTACGGCTTTATTGGCGTTATCTGCAATAATGATGTGACCCAGACTGTCAGTGGCTACACCACGCGAATCAAAGCTGCCTTTTGACCTCCTAGCTAGGGCGTTCCCGTGATACGTAAACCGAAGACTTCCAGACTTGGTAAGTACAACCACTTTACTGCTTGAATCAGAAACACAGATATCGTCATTGATATTCTCACAGACAAAACATGGATAAATAAAAAGTCTATCCCCGTTCTGGCCTGTCTGGAATTCCTGTATCCTCCTCCCACTGCTACTGTACTTGACTACTTTTGCTGTATCTTTGTAACCCATGCAGACCAGGATATCACCCGACCTTATACAACACAGCCCTTTAGGATCACGCTCAGTATTTATAAGCTTTGTTTTTACTTTATTGAGTGATACTCTATAGATTAACTTATGTCTTTGGTCAGAGTAAATGAGACTTCCGTCCTGCATCACAGCCAGACCAGATGGATCTCTGTCAGTATTGATGTTATCCAGCTCTATCCCCCACCTGTCTATCAGTAGTATTCCACGACCGTTACCACTGATGTACGCTGATCTGTCATCACGACAACTCACGTGATATAACACTCTCTTTTGGGTTTTTGTTTCGCTTATCTTTACTGAACGTCCTAGTACTGTTGTTGTAGATGGTTTAACGCTTGCAGACCCGGTTGGATGTTTAACTTTCAAGCTATCATCTCCTATTCTAAGACGTCTGATATGACCTCTGATGAACTGACCAAACTGATGCTCATTTTGAGTTTTGTTCATCTGACCGATTGTAAATGAAGGCATTGTGAAATTTATTTCGTCTGGTAATTTCAATCTCTTGAATATGTCAGGATTTTTCTTTCGGTACAATACAAGGCCGACCGGATGACTTGATTCCGTAAAAGTTTCAAATTTCTCAATCAATTGATCCAAGTTTTCTTCAAATTTTTCTGCTTCTGCTCTGTATTGCGATATTTCAATCAATTTTTCTCTTTCGTCTTTCGTGGATTCATTCAAGGCTTCTTTCAAAATGGCGCTGTTATGATATATAAAATCCTGAGCTTGTTTCTTCATGTTCTCTCTTATATTTTGATGGCCTGCCTTTATATCCCTTTCTCCATTTTTGAAATCTTTTATTCTTTGAATAATTTCAGACTTATATTGTGTCTTCATTTTAGACAATTCGTTTTCGGTTTCAGTCTTCTGTTTTTCGAGTAGATCTTGTATCTTCCCGATGGCGTGTTTTCCGTGTACTTCCTGAATGCACATAATACAGACCGGAACTTGGCAATCTTCACAGCAAGCCTCGTAAGCTTTAGATACGTGGACTTCACACATTTTGATCTGATTGGTTGGATGAAGTCTCTCAGACAGAGGGACGATGTTGTGTCCAGAAGGAACTTTACTTTTAAGATGGAAGACTTTACATCGAGGACAGAGTTCATCTCCACACGGAACACAGTGGAAGACAGCGGGCTCGTCCTCACAGTATTGACATCGAATGACGTCCTGGGCTTGTGATCGGGCCATTACAATACAACTGTATATCCTGAGGTAAATAAAACGATAAATAAAAAAAAATTACGTTAATTTTTGTAATTTAAAAAATGGTTAAGAACATTAAAAAAATAAGTATGTGTAATTCAAGTAAACCTTAGAATACATTGAGTGTTCAAGAATAGTTTGAACCCTCTCCTGTATTTCTATGTTTATTATTTAAAAGATTCTAATTTTTATTTGAGATTCTGTATGATCTTATTTAAAGCATATGTATTTGTACCTTATTTTAATACACATTCAGTTGTAATGAAAACACAAATTTCATTAAAAAAATTGTTAACCTTTGTTTTGACAAACAAAAGAAAATTAGTATGAAGAATTACAATGGTAAATTCCTGTCTTGATTAATAGCCCCTTTCTATTTTATCTAGCCAGGGGAAGGTTTTTCGTTAATTGAAATACTATTTTTAGGAACATCCTAAACATTTCTTAAAATTTGATAATAATCCCATGAGGTAATAATATTGACTGAAATAATAAATATCCAAAAGATTAACTTCCCGATAAGAATTAAAACATAATCCGAGAGATGTGATAGAAACAACACGTGCATGATGCAGGGGATGATCACTCCTCCATTGCACCTGATCCCACCTTTGATATTTTGGAGGTCCGTGTTTACTCTGCTCCTATTTTGTATAGTTTTATGGACTTTTGATCTTTAATACTGATCAACATCTCCAGATATTTCAATCCACATATTTCATGAACACATAAACGAATGAATTCCCAAAAAATTTATACTGCCACAAATATATGCCATAACAATATTTTTCTTCAATATATGTTGTGCAAAAAATACCAAGACAGTATCTAACATCTTTTATTACCAAAAAAGAAGGTATGGTTTTAGCTTTATTGCGCCCTAAAATGTAATAACATTAAAAAGTTTTGAAACTGGCTTAAATATTAGTTAAATAAATGACTTTGATAAATGAGGAAAGAATATGGCATGAAGGTTCACCATTCTACAAATATGACGTCATTAATGTGAAGCATTTCTCTATTTTCAACAGAAAAAGCCTCAAAATGGCACATTTCAAGGATGATTTTCCTTCAGAAAATAGTGTCCACAGCCGTCGCCCACGTTAAGTTTTTGATATTTTGTGCAAAATTCAATAAGAAATCACATATCTCAAGATCTTTGTGGGCGATGCCTGTGGACAATGTTATCTAAAAGGAAATTCCATTGAAAATTGGTGTCTTCTGCAACTTTTTAAGAAAATACGGGAAAATGCACATGTTTATGACGTCATGTTAGCATTTAAAAAACATGTGAGAAAAATTACTTGTATGATTTTTCTGCATTGAATTTCAATTATTTAAAAAGCGTGAATTTTCAACTTTTACACCAGTTTCATTTTTTAGAAAATCACAGGGCAAAATTTATATGGAAACCATACCTTCTTCTTTAGCTGTAGAAAGTGAATGCTATAAAGATACAGTACACGAAATCGATTACATGAATTGTGTAGAATGACATTGAGGACGAATTCCATTTTGTTCTAAACGTTAACGATATCAGGATCTACGAGTGAAATATAAAAGAAAATATAAAAAAATTAAAAGAATTACCTTGGAAAAACCGTCGATGCTTAAATCAATATAAGTGTTATGTGCAACCAATCTTAAGAATCTTTGCGCCTTACTGTTTACATGTTTTAATGAATATACTGTATACATTACGTTGTATCTCGTACGTAATAAATTGATTGAAATTGAACTCTAACAAACATTGTCTGCAATGACTGATTCTTAAATAATCAATGTTCTTGATTACGAATGAAAAATGTGTTTTTAAATAGGCATGATGAAAAGACCTATCTTGCTGTGACGTTGTTACGCGTCAAAGTCACCGTGAGTGTTGGTTAATAAATCTTCAATTTCCTTTCTGACAACTTAAAAATGTTTTGGTGGAAAAGAAAAAAGAACCCATATTGCACAGCAACATGTTGTTACCTTTTTATTTACTTACACAATCTACAGATAACTAGATTGCAACAAATTTATGCTGACTGCATGTATGCATAAATCATGTCAATACCCTATATTGTCGCATATACATGTAAACTTCCCATGTGTCCTTTTTTGTTTCAGTATATCATTGACGTTTAGAGAGAGACACTTTATGGAATTATAAGTATACGAATTGTTATAACTCTGCTCATATTTAGTATTGTTTGAATTGAATTTTGATCGAGCTCGAATACTGTTAGTTATTTCCTTACATTTCATATTTATCAAAAACTGAAATTCCGCTATTCTAAAACGAAATAAGATTCTCCTTTGTTCAAATTCAATGATTCAAAATTACGGTGATACTTACTGTGCTGAATTAGAAAACCTAAAAAAAAGAAAGAGGCAACGGAAAAAGAGAAGAGATATATACCGTATATACTCGCCTATAAGTCGGTTTTTTTGGGAGTTAAAATGTGGTCCAAAACTCTGTGTCCGACTTATAGGCGAGCTATAAAAAGAATGGTATTATATGAGGTCAGTCCCTCTGAAGTATAAGCTTGTTAAATGCAACCGACTTATAGGCGGACCGACTTATAGGCGAGTATATACGGTAGTATATATTTTGTTATATTCTACCCAGACTGTAGACATACCTGTATGGACACGACCACAAACCAGCTACATATAAATGTTAATATGGCTGAGCCTTTCTCATTGGTTGTTATTATTTAACTGTTAACTAAATGCATTTTACAGAGATATCGTACACACTGTTTGCTCACAAATCGTTAGCTCTCTCTCTTTGTATAGACTCTAAAACAAAAACTACTACTGACTCTCGAGTGTTACATAATTTAAATAAATCAATGAATGAATAAATATAAATAAATAAATGAATGAATGAAATTAAAAATCGAATAATAAATTCGGTTATCGATTATTTTGAAGTTTAAATTTTCAAATATCTAAGTTACAAAGATAGAGACGCCCTTCGAAAAACAATATGAGGAAAACTGTTTCATAAAAAAAACTTAATAATCAGGAAGATCTACTCATGTACTTACCGTAAACTAGTGTGTATACTTGTAATCGGCTTTTTGCTGAGTAGAGATGCCTTTTTACTGGCATTTAAAGTACATTATTTACTTTAATATATATTGTTTTTAATGTTTTATTCAGTATCTTTAAGATCTTTATTTGCAAATTTAACTATCTCGAAGAGAAATTTTTAAGATATCACACAAAATTAATCACATAAGAAGATACATGTTATAAGTACTCAATGAATATTTTAGTATAAAAGTTTCGTTTATTCGTCTTCAGATGTTTGTATAACCATATACGATATATACAATATATCTATGAATACTTTTCTCCCTTTTTAAATAATTAGAAAAACGAAATATATTTGAACGGATCAAATAAAAATATCATGACATTTTACGTGATATAAAAACATGGAATTATTTCTTGCATTCTATTATCTTATTCATGAAACAAATTGTTACATTACAAAGGTGTCATCGAGAAGTACACATTAATCTAACATTTAAATCGATTCATCAGTTATACAAAGATACAAGGAATTTTTGTAATCTTCAATGTCATATTTTGGAGGAATAAATCTCAAATTAGCATCTAACATTGGAAATCAAAGTGGGCTCTTTTTAAATGAGACATTTAGAGGTAATAAAAACGCAGAATTCAAGATCAGAAGTCCATCAAACAATACAAAATAGGAGCAGAGCAAACACGGATCTCCAAAGCATAAGAGGTAGGATCAGATGCCATGGAGGAGTAAGCATTCCATGCTGACCCGTCACACCGCTGTGTACTCCTGTCATGATCGGAAAATAACGAAAAAATTCGTCGTTAATTTATTGTATTATATAATGGACTAAGAATTTGTATGATTACTTGATTGATTGAATGTTGTTTAACGTCCTTAGCCAGATTTTTTTCACTCATATGGAGACTCAACCACTTGTCGATGGAGAGCTACAAATTTTGTCCTATACTTTGCACTCAGAGCCACTGAGCAGTGACGGATCTTTTTTGTGCCAGCACCTAGTGCGACATGGGACCTCGGATTACATGATCTTATCCGATCATGTTAAGTTCTCCGTGTCCCATAGTTGGATTCGAACCCATGACATAAGGATCAACTCCTTACTTTGCGACTCGAGGACAGACGCTTTAACCACTGCGCCACGCGGGCGACAACAATTTGTATGAAAAACATTTTGTATGAAAAATTTCAGTCAGCATTTAACTCAATGAAAAATTGTACTTGCTAACAAGGTCATTTTATCGACCATAGAACTTACGAAATGATGACTTGAAACAAGACTGATAATTTTCTTATTTCATCAACTTGTCTGTCAATAATTTGCCCCATTTTATAAATTATTCATACGTAAAGTATGCTTTTGCGTATCGAACCAACTGAAATATATTTATAAACTCAGGGGCTGAAGGTAAATTGCTGCATAAGTAAGCAGAGATGATAATAGATAAGTTGTAGTCAACACTTAATCAAAGAGCTATGTTGTTAGATTACCATTAACGTTTCCAAGTGAAATATCCAAATATGAAACAGATGTCTCAGTCTTTGTGGTGTCTTTTATTTAAAACTCATCGGGATATATCGTGCTGACATAAGAATGGAAGTTACTATTGTTTCTTGACAATATATCTAAATGTCGAGTTGAAAACCACAGCAATTAAGTGTTTTCTTCTTTTCACACATAATTTTTTTGCACAGATTCTTTTTCATATGAATACAAAAATAAATTTGCTAATAACGGGGGTAATTGGAAATATATTGTTGGAAGACTTTGTCTCCAAAAGCACATAGATATTGTCATAAGATACTCAAGCATCTTTTTATGTCAACTTGCGAGTACTTGTGCGTACAATAAGAATGTTTTTCAACAAAATACTTTAGCAAATGACCAATGAAAAATTAAGTAAATTTAAGAGTTCCATTTCTTTTTGAAAAATAGATGTGA